CGGACAACCTAAAAGCACCCTTTCGAAAACCTCGCCCTTGGGTTCAGCCCAGTTATCGGACAACCTAAAGTAGTTGTAACACCACCCACCCAAAACGCGAAAATGGAAGTCAAAACCATCACGTCACTCTGACTGGCTCTTTTGACGGCGACGACACCTAGGGGCAAGAGAGAATACACATAGGGAGTGGGTGGTAGGTATGGCCTTAGTGCTAGCAGGTCGTTGTCGGAAACCACCACTCAAGGTGATAACCTTCTTCTTTTGGTCTATGAATATCGACATGGAGATTTGTGCATGGTTCAAAGATTGGGAGATTGAAGGGTCCCTATAATGGGGGCACCTTGGGGGCCTGGCCTTGGTGAGAACAGCTAGAACCTACCTTTGCCAATACTCTTTTCCGCAAGAAACCCCTACCTCGTAATTAAACGTCACTCTATTTGCGGATGAGTGAATTGTTTGTGCATTTGTTAGTTGCATTTGATTGTTGCATAACATAATCATACAACAGCAAAAAAAAATATACAAAACAAAATCTCAAAAATCTTTTCACAATAAACACCCTTATCTCGGACAGTCTGCCTTTTAGCTAGCCTGGTTTCAGGTTCTTTGTAAGCTAAGTAGCCACGCAGTCCGACAAAAGAGATAAGGGATACTAAAACCATTCTTCCGCAATAATCATATTTATCTCCGACAGTTTACCTTTTAGCTAGCCTGATTTCAGGTTCTTTGTAAGCTAAGTAGTCACGCAGTCCGACAGAAGAGATTAAATGATAAAAAAAACCAAATAAATCAAATAACAACAGTAAATAAAAGGAAATGGGGCCCCCTTCATGGTGTTAAGCATCGAATCCGTCATCCATGTAAGTAGTTTCATTTTCTTCAAAAAATACATACAAAAAAAACACCATCATGCATCATGTAGAAAATAAAACATGATAATGTTTAGAAACAAAAAAACACTTTCATGCATACGAAAGCATCATACTCATAGCATGCATTTTTCCGTTTCTAGAAAAAATGGAGGGATCAAGCAGTAGACAATTGGGAAAAGTGGATATTCCCCGTTACCATGTCGAGAGGTTGGAGCAGTTATGTGCATTAATGTCGCCGGAAGTTTGATCCGACTTTGAGAGATCTTATGGATGAATCTTAGACCTCTTGAAAATCTGCATTTACCACGTGTTTGTCAGAGTCTTGATACACTTTTGGAGCTCTAGACTACATTGCTTCGAGTTCCCTGAGTTTGATTTGGTTCCGACATTGGAAGAGTATGAGCTTATGATCAAATGGCCCAAGTCAGCCGGGATCTACGTTAGCCAGGGGACTTATATCTCGGTAAACAAGGTTGCTCACCTTATCCGATTGCCACTTCCACAGTCTGCCTTGAAGGGAAAAGGGAGCAATCAGGGGTGGAAGATCTCACTTTTAGAAGACCATTTATCTTCTCTGGCTGATAAAGGAGATTGGCCCACATTCAACAAGACTCTAGCACTAATTGTGTTTCAGAACTTTTTATTCCCTTTCCATAACGACACCGTGGATCACGCCACGATGGATGCCTTCTTTGCCTGGGACGTACATTTGGAAAGTCTCGTGCCTGCGCTTCTTGCCGACACCTTACTGTCAGTGGAATTCTGTCATCACAAGCAAGGAAAAACACTTTGATGTTGTTCTACATTATTGTATGTTTGGGGCATCACTCACTTCTATGCCTCAAGTCACATGGGAGCATTCCCCGACCTTTTGAGGAGTTTCTCAAAGATCCCTCTCCGTCGTCGTCACGCCCTGGAGTGGAAGACTGAATTGGAGCATTAGACATAGATCACATATCTTGGTCATGTCCTTGGTTCCAACCCGGTCCCATTCTTATCAGATGCGGAGATCACCCTAATGTACCATTGTTGGGCCTTAGGGGCTTCATAGCTTATTCCCCAAAGATAGCTATGAGGCAGCTTATGAGGACCCAGACCGTGCCAACATGTGAAGAAATTGGGGGATTGTGTTTCTTTTGTAATCCCAGCAGCTTCAAGGATGCTCCCACAATCTGGAGAGCATGGGAGAGACCAGTCTACATAGGGGATGAAGAGCTTGGGAAGGCTCGAGTAGCTATTTCCAGTGACTATGAGGAATGGAGGAAAGATAGAGGGGTGCCACATCCACCCGCTCCATTCCCCTCACCATCAGTAAATACAGAATTATAAACCCAAGTCGTTGCTTTGACCCAGAGGATAGAAATCATGGGAGCCCAGTTGAGGGCCCTTGAGGAGAAATAACAAGAGTCTATCCTTAACATTGTCGGTCAGCAAAGGCAGTGCAAGAAAAAATACCAAGAGATAGAGCGGCTCAAAGACCAGTGTGATGACTCCAACGAAGAGGTTATCCGAGCGTCTAAAGTTGCCAGAGTAAACTCGGATAATCGATTCCAAGAAATGACGGCCAAACTAGCACACCTTGAGGCCGAATATGCAAAACAGGCACAGGCAACCAAGATGATGCAACAAGACCTCGAAAGGACTCGGTCTAAAGCACAACGAAGGTGGGAAACCGGCCAAAGACTTAATAGGAACTTGGCTGAGCTACGATGCAAAGAGAGAGACGGATTAGCTCAGTACGACCAAGTTCTGCAAGAAAGAGACCAAGCCGTCGAAAAACTCGATAACTTACAGGCCTTGGTCACCCATCAAGAGGCAAAGATAAAGGAGGGTAAAAAATATAGTGAAGATATGAGCCAGGTAGTCCATCGACAATCCGAAGCACTTACTCGTCATGTACAGGAAGCCGAAGGGGAATTACATAGGAACCAGAACCCGCCTATGGGTTTCTTTAGGTTTTTCCGTTTCTGCCAAAATGTACTTCGTAGCATGGTCTAGGGGAATGTACACTTTTTCCTGGATGAATAAAATCACCTTTTGTTTATCTATACAACTGTTTATTGCATTCATCTCGCATTCATTCACATATCTCTCCTTGCCTAAAATTAATAAGATAATAAAAAGGAAAGGTTAACTGATGTGTTTTCATAAATCAGAAGAATGGAAAGGAAACCACTCATCATTAGTATCTCCTCAACGATTGAGCCACCTAAAGGAGACAATAAACCTCAACTGCTGGTTATCACGATCAATAAAGAAGAGGGGACTAGGGCACCGCTGCGATTATTTATGCCTCGTTCTTTCCCCTACGAATCAAATAAAGTTGTACCATGTAAATACGCAATAAACGAAGATGTTTCCAATATAGCCGGTATTGGGGACATGACCAGAAGTGGGCGAATCTACTCTCCCAAGGAGTCACAAGAAGACGCCCCCAAAAATAAAGAAAAAAATAAAGAAACCGAAGAAGAAAACAAAGAAGAACCCAAGGAAGAGGCAGATGAATTACTCCAGTTCATCAAGCAAAGTGAGTACTCCATCATAGACCAACTCAACCGCACGCCCGCGAAGATAGCCTTGTTATCTTTAATAATGAATTCGGAACCACATCTGAATGCGCTGCTAAGGGTCTTGAACGAAGCCTATGTGTCACATACCATATCCCAAGACAAGTTCGAAGGGATTATTGGAAATATCACATTACTTTCACCAATGAAGAATTCCCTCCTAGAGGGTCAAGCCATAACAAGCCTTTACACATATCTGTCAAGTGTAGAGAATATCTCATCACCAAAGTCCTTGTGGATAATGGGTCATCCGTGAACGTCATGCCTAAGTGCACACTCGACAAATTGACGATACAAGGAGTCCATATGCACCCAAGCAACACCGTCGTTCGAGCCTTCGACGAATCAAGACGCAAAGTAGTGGGGGAAATCAACCTGCCAATCCGAATAGGTCCCACTATCTTCAATGTGGATTTCCATGTGATAGACATCACTCCTGCTTACAGCTGCCTCCTCGGAAGACCTTGGATTCACGACGCCAAAGCGATCCCTTCAACGCTCCATCAAAGAATCAAATTCATGGTAGGTGACAAACTGGTCACAATTCAAGCTAAAGACGACATCTTGATCAGCAAGCCATCTACCCTACCTTATGTGGATGCAGCTGAAGAGACCCTTGAAACATTCTTTCAAGCACTAGAAATTGCCAATGTTGAAAGACTTTCCAACAATATGAAGGTGGCACATATGATGTCAAAATACGGGTACCACCCAGGCCAGGGACTCGGTAGGAATTCCAAAGGAATAAGGGAGCCACCAGATTTCAAGGACAATCCTTTGAAGCACGACCTAGGGTATGACCCTACTACAAGAAGAAAGGGAAAGTATCCCCTCCGCTCATTGAATCAGATCTTCCGAAGTGGAGGGATATAGGCATCGAGAGCAACTTTAATCATTAGGTGTTCTTCTTCCAATTTTTAAAAGGAATATAAACCCAATGACTATTAGAGATTACTCTCCGTGGAAAGCCCGATCCCTGGGCATTTTCAGGGCACATATTACCCTTTTAATCATAAAAGAATATGTTTCTTACTATCTGCTTCTTTTCTTACTATTCATGTTTGTGCCTCATTAAAAACCATGTTTAAGTAAACGTTTCTAGAAGGCGTCTAAAATTTAGGAGCGCGCTATCATCAAAAAACAAAATTAACCATCACTGATTGATTAGAAACACAAGTAAGGTTTTACCTCGTCATAGTAAAGTCGTGCTTGGCCAATGTTGCGAAAATGATAAAAAGAGCCCATAAAAGCCAAAGGCCATAAAAAAGAAAGGGCAATTTACCCAGTAGGAAACCCACAAAGGGGGCTACACAAAAGTTAGGGTCGACCCGCTAGGAAACCCGAACAATAATAAAGGGTAGCCTAGGCAAAAGATAGGGTTACAAAACAAAGTCTATTAGAGTTCCTAAAGAAAAATAAAAAAGGAAACCCAGACAAAAGTTAGGATGAAACACAACTTCCTAGATTGAAAACCCGAACGGCGGTTTAGGGAAGTCGATCAGTTGTAATAAGCGCCACAAAACAATCAGGTAAAGACGCAGCCCCACAAACAAACGTTTGTTTAATCTAAGCCTAAACAAAGGGAAGCGGATGACTGTCCACCTAGCCAGCCGGCCGTCCAAGGGTGTCCGTTGGGACCAGATGGCCGTCCACTCGGAGCAGATGGTCGTCCAAAGGTATTCGTTGGGGGTAGACGGTCGTCCATGAGTGGTCGTTGGGGGCAGATGGTCGTCCAACTACACCAGACGATCGTCTGCCCCTGCATTTTTCTTTCCTATAAATCTAGGCGCCCCAAATGGTTCATGATATCCCATTTTTGCATTCCATTTTCCTCCTTTACCTCCCTTTTGCATATTTGAGTGTTTTTTGTTGAGTAATGGATCGTGGGGAATCGTCAACACGTCGAAAATGCTCCCGGGGACCCATAAGGAGCATCCCCCTCCTCAGATTCCCACTCAGCTGACGGAGCAACACAAATTTGCCAACATTAGCCAGTATGCCTGGCACCCTATGCTCTGGCTAGATTTCAGGATTCTAACCATGTTTGGATGGGATCAGGATGTAAGGAGATACATCCAAAGCATAGGGTGGGACTTCCTGCTCAGAGATCCACCTACTCGCATTCACCACACTGCTACGCTGGAATTCCTCGCCTCTGTTACGCTCATAGACCTACCATTTATGATCCCTGGGGTTTCTCCTGTCCCAGCAGTTACTTACTGGATGAATGGGGCCTATCGGACCAACGTCCTAGATGATTACAACATCCTCATGGGATTTCATCAGCCAGCAGAGATCCAAACTGCAGAATACAGGGGGGCATATTGCGAAAGGCCAATCACCCTCACTACCAGTCAAATATGGGAAGAGATTACTGGTTCCCAGCACGTTCCTGCCAACCCAAAGGGGACCGCCTTCCTGAAAGTGATGAAGATCTTATTGAAATACTCTGTCAAAGATCTTGTTGATTTGATGAAGTCAAAGATAAAGTCAAAGTCAACTTTGTAGCGGTCAACAGTCACTTAGATAAAAGAGTAGAGAGATTAGTGTGTCCGCAGCTATGCTTAGGTATAATCATTTTTATCTTTTATGCTTGCATGAGGTTTCTTCACTTAAAAGATTTTGCAAAATGCCTCTAAAAACGTTTAAGCGGTTAAAAACAAATTATTTTAACAAAAGTTTTCTTAAACAAGTTTTTAACTGATATAATTTCGAAATAACCGGTTGTTTTCATTAAAGAAAGTTTTGAAAACCCTCTGTCAATGTTTTAACTGATAAAGCTTCGAAATAACTGATTAAAATCACTTAAAATGTTAAGAGAAGTGTTTTTGCAGTATTTTAATCGATACAACTTGGTTTTAATCGATTAAAACCACTTAAAGTTCAGTATGATCGATCAGAATCAGATATGATCGATCAGAATTGAGTTATGACCGATCAGAACTTTTTCAATCGATTAAAACTCGTTTCAATCGATTAAAACAACTTAGAAAATTTCTACACAGCGTTTTAATCAATTAAAACTTATTTTTATCAGTTAAAATCACTTGGAAAAAATAACAATAAGGTTTTGCAGTATATTAATCGATTGAAACATGAAACAATCGATTAAATCAAATTAGAAGATTTTTTGTAAAGAGTTTTAATTGATACAAACGTTGTCGTATCAGTTAAAACAAATCTGTTAAAGAATCAAGAACGGTTTAATGGATTAAAAGAAGTTTTAACAAATTAAAACTGAACTTTTAACAGATTAAAAGATTATTTTAACAGATTGATTAAACCAGCAGTTTTGAAAATCTTCTATAAAAACAGTTTGGCTTGAACTTTTTAAACACACAATTGTACATCAATCTTTAGCAATCAAGCAAGCAAACTTTAGCTCTCTTTCAAGAAAGATTCGCGTCAGTTTTTGTGAAGTTCTTTGAAATTCTTTCTTGAGGCAAATTGCTTTCTTTTGGAGAAGAAACTCACTACAGAATTGCATAAAACTGGTTTGAGCATTCTAGTTTCTTCTTTTCATTTCTTTTCATTCTTTTACTGTATTGTTTGGTGCCTGGAATTGTGGGCACTGGTTTCTCTGCAGCTGGAATTTGGTTGTAGAGGTTGTCAAGAACTGGAATTTGGTTCTTGGTGAAAGGTTAGGTGCAAGAACTGGAAGTGTGGTTCTTGTGGTAGATTAAGTGTAAGATTGTAATCTGTAAAACATTTGATCTAGTGGAACCCAGCTGGAATTTGGCTGGAGACTGGACGTAGCCCTGGTATTGGGTGAACCAGTATAAACACCGGTGATATCTTTCTAAACCTTTCTCCTCTTTTAATTATGTTGCTGCGTTTATTTTTGATTGATTGCTTTGTGATTCAAGAACAGATCTGAAATCTTATTTTTACAAATAGATAATCTGTTAATTGCAAAAATCTTTCAAAGATCAATTCACCCCCCCCTCTTGATCTCAGCCTACTTTTCTAACAATTGGTATCAAGAGCAAGGTTCTTGAGAGTTATTCAAGTATTTTGATCAAATCTTTAATGGCTGAAAATAGATTACCGTTTTCTGAGGGAGCTTCTATTAACAGACCTCCACTGTTTTGTGGAACAAATTATCCTTTTTGGAAAATTAGGATGAAGATCTTTATTGAGTCTATTGATAGAAATGTTTGGGATGTAATTGCTAATGGCCCTTTAATTACAAAAAAAGAATGGTCCAGTTTAAATGATGAGGAAAAGAAAAAAGTTCAAAATGATTGCACTGCTAAAAATATAATTACTTCTGCACTTAACATGGATGAGTTTTTCAGGGTCTCCCAATGCAAATCTGCCAAGGAGATGTGGGATGTTCTTGAGGTTACTCATGAAGGGACAACAGATGTAAAGAGAGCCAGAAAGCATACTCTCATAAGAGAATATGAGTTGTTCAAAATGCAAACTGGTGAAAGCATTGCAGATGTGCAGAAGCGATTCACTTACATCATTAATCATCTAATGGGCCTAGGTAAAACCTTTGATAAAGAAGAATTAAATATTAAAGTCTTGAAATGTCTTGATAGGTCATGGCAGCCAAAGGTCACAGCAATTTCAGAGTCAAAGGATTTGTCAGTCATGACAACAGCTTCTTTGTTTGGCAAACTCAGAGAACATGAAATGGAAATTAATAGATTTCATGAACAAGAAGTCTCTGAGAAGAAAAGCAGGAGTATAGCACTCAAAGTTGAAGAAAGAAATCAAGAATCAGAGGAGGAAAGTGAGAGTCTTGGACTGCTTGTCAGAAAATTCAACAAATTTCTCAAGAAAAAAATTCAAGACAAGGAAAAACATAAAAGGTATGAGAAAAAAACTGATTCTTCTAACTTTAAATGTTATGGCTGTGGTAAGCAGGGCCATGTAAGAATGGAGTGCCCAGAAAAGAACAAATATAATGACAAGAAAGAAGAGAAAGTCAAAAGAAGAGCCTATGTAGCATGGGATGACAATGACACTTCATCAATAGACAATTCTGACAATGAAGAAGCCAACCTGTGTCTAATGGCAAATCAAAACCTTCAATCCAGCAGTGTAAGTTCTAGTTCTTCTTCAAATTTAGTGAATTATGATTCATTACAAGAAGTGTTTAATGAAATGCATGAAGAGGCTAAGAAACTACAAAAAGAAAATGATAGGTTAAAAGGATTGAATAATTGGCTAGTAAATAAAGCAGACTCTCTTGAAAAGAAAATTCTTGAAGATGAAACTGATCGTGATTTCTTAAAATTAATTCATGATAATTCTGATTGTGCATGTAATAAACCCTGTAATAATTGTTCAGAATTACAAAAGAAAATTGATTTTTTATCACAAACTGTTTCAAGATTTACACAAGGTAAAGCTAATCTTGACGTTTTACTTGGGTCTCAAAAACTAATTTTTGACAAATCTGGAATAGGATTTAAATCTAGGATGAAATTCAGAAAAACAAATGTAAAGAAGAAATCATACTCTGTGATTAAATGTTTTTACTGCATGAAAAGAGGTCATTCGATGAAATACTTGTAGAATTAAAAAGTATGTTATTCCTAGAGGAAGAACGAAATGGATTCCAAAGTTAAAGTCATTTCAATTAACCTAATTGGACCCAGTAATTATAAAGGGTACCAGAAACATGATAAATTTGTTTTGCAGGAACAAAATCTGGGAGTCCCTTGGTATTCAAAAACAGCAAATCAGGTTCTGTTTTCATAAACTAATAGTTTTAATTGATATAAAACAGTATTAATCGATTAAAATAACTTACAGAGGATATCAGAAAATATGTCCGTACCATTTTAATCGATTGAAATGGGAATTAATCGATTAAAATATTCTCAGGATTTGAGTTTATCTGTTTTAATCGATTAAAAAGAAATTTATATCAACTAAAAACACTAAGATGTTAAAATTAATCGATTCTTTTTCGTTTTAATCGATTTAAATTCTGTTATCATTTTATTAATTTCATCCTGTACAAAACTAATCGATTCCTTTATGAATTAATCGATTATTTCACTGTAGCATTTTCAAACCTAGTATTAAAGATCAAATTAATAGGTTAATTAGTTGGTTAATCGATTAATTTGTTTCTAAAAATTAGTTTTATAACATCCAATTGAAAATTGGTAAGCAAATCAAAGTCAAAATCCTAAGTTTTTATGGTAATCAAAATCTGCAAAATACTTTTAAATACTGTTTGACCAAGTCAAACATCTTTCCAAGAACAGTTTAACTGATACACCCACTGTCCAAGAATTTGTGCTTGTGTTCTCAGTCAAGGGGACATATGCAATTAAAGCTGATTTTGCAGGTTCTGTCTAAAGTAAACTGCAATTCACAAAAATTGACATCTGTGAATCTTCAGTTTGCTCTCTTGTAGCTCATTGTTTTCATTCTTCTCTTCCCAGTTCAAAGTGTTTCTCCCTTCTTTCCTTGTACACACGTCTCAGAAACTCTTCTCTGAAAATACAACAAGATGCTGAGAAGATCTAAGTCAAGAAAGAAGCAAAAAGGGGAATCTTCCTCTGCTGCAAATCCCGGTGGCCATCTGGAAGCCTGGTTTGATGGAGATATAGGAAAGATGAACACCTTCATCTCTCGAGTTTAGTCGAAACAAATTGTTATTCCAAAATTTATCAAATTTAGGTGGCTGGATGAAGAAGGTTTTACTAGTCTAAGAAGAAAGTTAAAAAGTCAAAAGCTGAAAACTTTCATGGAGTTTACAGGGAACATCCAACCTGATTTGGTTCGGGTTTTTTTTTT